TATCATAGCCTAACATGTCATATCATAGCATCGCATAGCATAGCATCGCATGGCATAGCATAGCATAGCATAGCGCAGCATCGCATGGCATAGCATAGCGTAGCATATCAACTGATGCTGCTTTCCTAGGGGCTCCAACTTCTAGGTAGGCTCGCACTGGGGTAATTGTTGACGCTTCGCGTATCCCCACCAGCCCATCCAGAAACGATGCTCAGGGGAGTTGAGGTGATCAGGGAAGTCGGGGAGCATGCAGAATAACAAAGGGCGGGGGAAGCTGTCACAGACCCCGAGAGGGGGAGGATGGAAGAGGAGTCGTCGTCGTCGTCGTCGTCGGAGGAGGAGGAGGAGGAGGAGGGGGAAGAGGAGGAGGAGGAGGAGGAGGAGGAGGACGGAGAAGGAGGAAGAATCGGAGGAGGAGGAGGAGGAGGGGAAGGAGCTTCTTGGGGGTCTTTTGAGGGCCTCTTGGAGGGCTTTTTGGGCGCCTTGGGGCATCTTGGGCGCCTCTTGGGACCCTCTTGAGGCGCTCTGGGGAGCCTTCGGGGCGCTTTTGGGGCCATCTTGGAGGGAGTCGATCAAACAAGAGGGGGGGTTTAATTAGCGCCCCCCCTCGGAAGCCCCTAAAATCGCCTCTTGGACCCCTCTTGGAACGCTCTTGGAGTGCTCTTGGGCGCTCTTGGGGCCGTCTTGGGGCTCTTTTGGGGCTCTCTTGGGGCCCTCTTGGGCCATCTTGGAGCCATCTCCAGGCCTCGGATAGCCATCGGAAGCGAAAAGGCGAGAAAGCAAAAATCATTGATTTTCCTTAGGTTTTGGGACGATTTTGGCCTCTTCGGGGCCTCCTTGGGGAGCTGTTTGGCCACTTGGAGTTATCTTGGGGCCGTCTTTGGGCTTCTTGGAACCATCTTAGGAGCCATCGTGAGCGATCTTGCGCTATCTTGAGCCATCTTGGAGCTCATCTTGGGTTCTCTGAGGCGCTCTTGGAGCCGTCTTGGGCCATCTTGGACGCTCTAACTACCCGCGGCCCCCCCCGTCCAGGTCCAGGGGAGGGGGTAGGGGGAGGGGTAAACCCCTCCCCAAGGGGGAAGAGGGAGGGGTGGAAGAGGATCTGTTCTAGACCACCTACGCCCAGAGGGCTGGTGGGATTCTTTCTTTCGCCCCCACAGGTCCCACGATTTTGCGGATGTCGGCCCCGTCGGGATTTTGGTGGTGTACACAATTGTTGTGGTGTGCGCAGGCACTGTGGTGTACATGCGTTGTGGGCTAAGTGGATGATGTTGAAGCAGCAGTTGTGGTGAACATAGGCTTTGTGGCTTACACATGCACTGCGGCGTACACGTTCGATTCGATGCACATGTCTGCTGCTGCAGCAGCTGTGGTGTACAAGACATGCATGGTGCACACAGCCACTGTTGTGTAAGCGGGCCCTGTAGTGCAGTTTGTTTTTTCCGTCGCAGCGCGGCAGCAGCGATCCGCACGCGCGCCCGAGTTGTCTGGGAGCGGGCGAACTACTTGTAAGGCGGCAAGAGAGGAGAAGTGGGCGAAGGGCGGCCGCAGAGCCCACTGAGTGCAAACGTGGTGTGCGCAATCGCAGTGGTGTGCACAGGCGCTGTGGTGCACATAGTTGCTGCTGCTGCAGCAGCAGCTGTGGTGGACGCATGCGTTGCGGTGTAGACGCGCAGTCTGGTGCACAACGGCACCGTGGTATGCACAGGCATTGTTGCGCACGGGCTTCTTGGGGCTTCTAGGGGTTTGCTAGGGTGCCTTTTCAAGGTCTCTTCGGAGCCTCTTGGTGTCTCTTGGGGCCCTCGTGGGGGGCTTGTCGTGCCGTCTTCGGGCCGGTTTGGAGTCCAGCAAAAAAAGAAGTGGGCAGCGCGGCCCTCCTTTCTTCTCCCTCTCCTCATTTCCCCCCCTCTGCTCCGTGTCTCCCCTCGTCCAGGCGACACACACAGACGTGGAGCTGGGGCAGCCAGCACACGTCTCAGCCATACTCCACGCCGCTGCACCGCGCAGCTCTGGCCGTGGCGTCGCACCGTGTCAATCAGCTCTTCGCGCCACCATCGCGCGGCACAGCCGCGCCGCGAAGTCCGGCCCCCCGGCCTCACCGCAGCCGCTTAGGCTCCCAAAGGCGAGCCTGGGCCGCCCGCGATGGGCCTGCCATGAGGTCGCGAGGGGCGGCGGCTCGCTGCGGGCGGCGAGTGCTGCCACCACGGGCACCGAGCAGCACGAGGCGCTCGACACTGCCACGCTGGGCGGCCACCTCGAGCGGGTGCTCGCGAGGCCCGTGCCGACCGTGCCAGAGATCCATCCCTCAGTGGGCGTGCCTCGGCTTGCCGGCGCGCTCTCTCACGCCGCTGTGAGGAGGGCGCGAGGCCGGGGACGCATGCGGCGCGCGCTGGGCTGGGCTCTCTCCATGGGCTGCTCCGCCCACGCCTGCGCAGGGTCCGCGCGGCGGGCCACGGGCTGCGCGGAGGGCTGGGACTGCGAGCTCGTGGACTGCGCGCAGGAGGGCCAGAGGGGGCTGACCATCGAGCAGTGGCGAAGCGTCCTGATTTGGCCGAATGGCCCACCAAATAATGTTCTAAGCGCGCTTTTGTGGCTGGCACGAAACGTTCTCAGAACATGGTTTGTTGGCGCTCAAAGACATTTTGTTTTCGTTATCAGAACACTTCTGTTCCAAGGACATTTCGTGGCACGCCTGCAGGAATGCCGATCCGATTCGATGCGATTCGATTCGCCGGCTGGTGCCGCGATTCCGATCTGATTCGATTCGGCTCGATTCACCGGCGTCGGCCGGGCCAGCCGCAGCCGCTCGTCCCGAACGGCCGCCAGAGACCCGAGTCCCTAGATCAGTGGGGACTTTTGGTGACCGCTCTGTCTTGGCACGGGTCGTCGTTCTCCGATGTCTCGGGGGCGGCATCCCGAGGGCAGCCCCCCGACGTCCAGGGATCGGATGGGTTCAGAGCCCCGAATCATCAGGGGTAACTCGGGTCAGGGCTAACTCGGATTCGTTTTTCGGAAATCCGAGCCCGAGTTGCCCCGGGCCCGAGTTACCCCGGATGATTCGGGCGTCCAGAGCCCCAAATCATCAGGGGTAACTCGGGTCAGGGCTAACTCGGGTTCGTTTTTCGGAAATCCGAGCCCGAGTTGCCCCGGGCCCGAGTTACCCCGGATAATTCGGGCGTCCAATGGGTCTAGCACGGCAGCGCGCGCCAGGGGGGCGGGGCGAGGGGACGGCCCGAACACCCACCCCGACCGCGCCTTCACCACGCCGGCTCCCGACGGTGATGGCACGGCCCCTCTTCGGCACAGCTGGGCTCCAGTGCGCTTGGAACTTGAGCGCGCGCGAAGCGCGCGTGATGGTCTCAGCGCAGTGCAGTGCAAAGCGAGGCACACCAAGACAACCCAAGACAACGGTACGAACCGATCCCCATACCAGATGAGACCTGTCGATGAACGACGACACGACACGCTACACTAGATAGTCTGGCAACCCAGCGCATGAGAAGACAAGCTAAGACAAGGAACAATACAAGGCATCGCATTGCAAGACATGACATACGACGCAAGGCAATACTGTACACACATCAGGAAGATACAGGAACGGTAGCGCCGACGAATCGAGACAACATGAACCGAGCCGAGACAAGGCGAGCGGATTCAGACAATACAGGAACAGTCAAGGCCCGCCAAGGCGCACCACCACACGACAATTCGATATACGTGCGGGCTGCGCAGGGCAATGCAGGTCACAGTAATATACGACGAGTCAAGACAGTACAACACCACGATATATAGAGTGGAATGACGATTCGCTGACATGACACGGCGTAGCATGGCCGTCCTGACGTGATGCGGCATGGTACTGCATTCCATGAGATAGCATGTTCTACCAATGATATATGGCGCGATGAGCGTCTCGATGCTATATGACATTATGTTATAATACGTTTCGGCATGGCATGGGCAATGGAGACGCGTGAGTGCGGAGAGAAAGAACGACTAGGAGCTCCAGGTGAATGCCAATCACTGTGTCAGTAAGATGATTCGAACAACTATCTAGTGGCATTCGGCCCATCCCGCCGCCACATCTTTGCTGTGGGTCAGAGGCCTCTTGGATGCCTGTGGGGGTCTCTTGGGAGGCCTCTCGGGAGGTGCCTTCGGGCATCTCGGGTGCCTCTTTGGGGTTTCTTTGGGCCTGATTTGCATTGCGACGGCAGCCTGGGGTGATTATTCGGTACGGCCGATCAGCCGACCAGCCGATCAGACGCAGACCAGCCGATCAGCCGCGCGCACGCACGCAACTCCCGATCGGCCCGAAGGCCGTGCCAATCTAGAACTCGGGGGGAAAACTTGGCCCGTGCCTCCGGCACCCAGGCAAATGTGCGAACGTCTAACGAGGATTGATTCACGGGCAGGCAGGGGCGGGGAGCGGGGGAGGAGAGGGCGGAGGGAGAAGGGCAGAATGGAAGAAAACTCTCAGATCTCGCTCACGGGGACCTTCACGAGGAACTCCGCGCTAACAGGCACAGATTCAGTCGGTCCACCTCTGAAGCGGTCGGCCTCTATGTCGCGCTCGACTAGGCGCCAAGCATACGACAGAGAACACCATTGCGACAAATATCCGTGTTCGATTTGTTGGACCAGCAAATCTCTCTGATGGTTGCGCCGGATGCTCCATTCTGTGACTGGCTGTTGCGCTAAGGCCGCCTCCAGCCGGCGCTGCATGCGATAGCCGGTAAGCTGCCATGCTTCCTCCTCCAAACGTACCCACCCAACAATGCGCCTCAACATTTTCCTCTGGAGCGCGTCCAGCTTGTCGAGGTCTTTTTGAGTGAGTGGCGTTGTGGTCAGACTGTAGAGGACAGACGGCGTCACCACGGAGCCGAACAGACGCAGGCGTAATTTGATCGGAATGTTGCGGTTCTGCAACGTGTCTGAAAACTGGTGGTACTTAAGCCAAGCGCACTTCATGCGGTGCTCCAGGTTGCACTTACCTCGCATCCTCAAATCGCCGCTCAGCAGCCGGCCAAGGTACTTGTGCGTGCCCGCGTGCTTGACAACCTCAACCATCCCGCCGCCGGCGTCGAGGAAGAGCGGGACCTCGTCTGCTGCAACGTTCGCATCTGTTGTCAAGATCTTCGTCTTCCGCGCGTTGACGGACAGACCAGCTCTGCTCAGTTCCTCCACGAGGCAATCGAGCATGACCACTGCATCCTCATGCGACCGAGCAAATAGAAGTAGATCGTCTGCACATCTGATGTTAGTCAGACGATCGCTCTGCGGGCTGAGCAGGAGACCGCAATCGACATAGAACGCGGGGTCAGACAGGGTGACGTGATTAGTCCAATGTTCTTCAACGCTGCGCTGGAAGCGGTCATGTGCCGATCAGCCGATCAGCCGATAAGACTCATCGGCTGATCGACTGATCGGCTGATCGGCTGGTCTGCGTCTGATCGGCTGATCGGCTGGTCGACTGCTGATCGGCTGATCATTTGATCGGCTGCCAGACCGCTTATCAGCTGATCGCCTTATCGGTTGATCGGTTGCCGAACTCTCATCGGCTGATCGGCCACTGATCGGCTTATCGACCGTCTAACCGTTTAAATCCCCTGACCTGAGGTGGTCGGGCCAGCCTGGCCCTAGACATCTCCCATTTTTGGGCTCGGAGATGCCGCGCGCGAGGTGGTCTGTCCAGCTTCGCCTGAGACATTCTCGCAACTCCCGGTTCATAGATCCCCTGACCTGAGGTGGTCGGGCCAGTCTCACCTGAAACATCCTCCCATCTTTGGGCCCAGAGGTGCCCCGCACGAGGTGTCGAAGGCGTCGAGCGTCCTCGCGAGGCAGACAAGGAGGAACAATGGAGGGATTTGGGCGGGGGAAAAGAGGCGGAGGAGGACGTAATATTGATATGGGGCAAGGCAGGAGGGAATTGCAAAAGAGGAGTAGGGAAAGGAGTGAGCAGGACGGCCAGGCTTGCAGATCTGCTCGGACTTCGTTGAAAATCCAAGTCTTGCGTTGCGAGGCATCTCGGCTCGACGTTTTTCCTCTCCTTCGTCCTTCTCGTTTCGCTTTTGATGGTGCTTGTCCTGCTGATGTCTGTTGGGGGCCTGACTTGGGTTCCTCCTCTGGGAGCGCACGGGGGGCCTCTGGAGGCCTCGCTGGCGATTCCGGTAGCCATCGAAGACGCCTGCGGCGAATCGACGCTACCCCCTGCCTGTTGGAGTCGCCCACGTGGCCGAGCGCTGTGGCAAGAGCTCTGCCAAGCTATCGGACCATGTGTTCCCCCAGCCGTTGTGGAAACTCTTCGGGGAACACTTGAGTGAGGATGGCGGGGAAGATCAGGAGGAGGAGGAGGAGGAGGAGGAGGAGGAGAAGGAGGAGGAGGAGGAGGAGGAGGAGGAGGAGGAGGAGGAGGAGGAGGAGGCTTCTTGGGAGCCTCTGGGGGCACTCTGTGGGCTTCCTGTGGGCTTTGTGGGAGCCTCTTGGGGGCATCTTGGGGGCCTCCTTGGGCCTCTTGGGGGCCTTCGAGGGCTTCTCTGGGGCCTCGTTGGCCGTCTTGGGGCATTCCTGGCCCGTCTGACGCCGTCGGAAGCCGTCTGGGGGGCCTCTCTGGGCCGACTTGGGGCCCTCTTGGGGTGCTCCAGGGCCGTCGTGGAGGCCATCTTGGGCGTCTTGGAGGCCTCTTGGGCCGTTTGGGAGCTTCTTTGGGCCGTCTTGGGGGCCTCTTGGGCCGTTCTGGGGCCATCTTTTGGCGGCCTCTTGGGCGAGCTTGGGGCGATTTTTGGGGGCTCTTGGGTCGCCCTGGGCCGTCGGAAGGCAGAAAAGAAGCAAATGCCAAAATCCGTCAACAAAAACCCATGAACAACAAATGGTCTTGACCTCTTCGGGCCCTCCTGGAGGACCTCTTGGAGGCCTCTGGGGCCGTCTAGGAGACCTCTTGGGCACCTCTTGGGCCGTCTTGGGCCATCTTGGAGCCATCTCAGGCCGTCTTGGTGGCCTCCTGGCCCGTCTGACATCGTCGTAAGCCGTCTGGGGGGCCTCTCTGGGCCTACTTGGGGCCCTCCCTCTCGGGGTGCTCCAGGGCCGTCTTCGAGGCCATCTTGGCCGTCTTGGAGGCCTCTTGGGCCGTCTGGGAGCTTCTTTGGGCCATCTTGGGGGCCTCTTGGACCGACCGTTCTGGGGCCATCTTGGAGGCTTTTTGGGCGACATTGAGGTGGGGGCTCTTGGGCCGTCTCGGGCTGTCGGAATACCGAAAAGCAGCAAAGGCCAACATCCGTCAGACACCTCAGAAACATAAATGATGTTGGCCTTTTTTCCGGTCTTCCTGGAGGTCGTCTTGACGGCCGAGTTTGCGGATCTTCTCGGATTCCGCGGAACATCCAAACCTTGCGTTGCGAGACATCTCGGCGGGGCTTTTGTTTTTGTCCCGTCCTTCTCGGGTCCCTTTTGATGGTGCTCGTCCTGCTAATGTATATTGATAGCCCGGTTCAGGGTTCCTCCTCA